CCAGCCTCCCCACCTCCCAGCCTCCCCAACCCCCTACCTCCCAGCCTCCCCACCTCCTACCTCTCAGCCTCCCCACCTCCCTACCTCCAAGCCTCCTCACCTCCCAACCTCTCAGCCTCCCCATCTCCCAGCCTCCCCACCTCCCTACCTCCCAGCTTTCTCACCCCCTACCTCTCAGCCTCCCCACCTCCCTGCCTCCTAGCCTCCCCACCCCCCATCTCTCAGCCTCCCCACTTCCCTACGTCTCAGCCTCCCCACCTCCCTACCTCCCAGCCTCCTCACCTCCCTACCTCTCAGCCTCCCCACCTCCCTACCTCTCAGCCTCCCCACTTCCCAGCCTTCCAGCCTTCCTGCCTCCCAGCCTCCTTTCCTGGTGTGAGTGTCGTGGATGGGCACTGAGAGAAGGGGCTCATCCTGGACACAATGCATCCATCCTAAGACACTTGTTCACACTTATTGTCTCTGAAAACAGGTTTCATGTGAATGCTGCCGACAGCCAGCTTCGTGACATGGTGGCCCCAGCTCAACGCTGATGAACCTGACTGTCCGTCCTGGCAGTGACCCCTCTACACTTCCATCCCAAGCCTCAAGGGCCCATCTAGGGAAGGACAGTGAGTCTGGGGCACCTTCCAGAGATGATTTGCTGGCACCTGCTGGTAAGATCTAGACACCGGCAGAGCAGGCAAAAGGTCCCGGGTCAATCGTGGAGGCCCTTCTTAGGGAACGGGTGTCCCCCAGTCCTGTACACGGCCCAAAGGAAGAGTGTATGATGGACGGTCTCGGTGCAACGACTCTAGACAAAATTGACCCGGAGAAAGTGGACTCAAATGTGGGGACCAGTAACCCTTACTTGCTGGTATTTTCTCTCTACATGTGTACACAACAGTGATTTAAGAAAATCTCTCCCTCAACCCATCAGGCAAGGTGCTTTCAATAAGCGAGAAACAAAACAAGGAAAGCACCATTTCCTCGTTTAAGTTCCATTTCTTTTTTTTTTTTTTTCGAGACAGAGTTTCACTCTTGTTGCCCACGCTGGAGTGCAGTGGCGTGATCTCGGCTCACAGCAACCTCCGCCTCCCGAGTTCAAGTGATTCTCCTGCCTCAGCCTCTCCAGTAACTGGGGTTACAGGCATGCGCCACCACGCCCGGCTAATTTTGTGTTTTTAGTAGAGACGGGGTTTCTCCGTGTTGGTCAGGCTGGTCTCATTTCTTTTCTCATCATGATGACAAAATGATGGTAAAACTTGACATGGGCCTTAGATTTTAAGAACTAAGAGGGTGTCGAACAGCCACCCTGTCTTGTGTGCAGTTTCCACTGTATTTCACTCTTGCAGCTGCCTTATAAGGTAGGGTCTACTGTTGTCCTGATTTTTCACATGAGAAAGCTGAGGCTGGGACTCAGGTCACACAGGCAGGCAGATGTCCCTAATCAGAGCGTCCCTTCAGGGTCACCCACAACTGCCCAACAGCAGTGACTGAAACCAGGAAGTCGTGGGACGACTGCCTTTCACAATTCTGGAGTTGACAGGGTTCAGCTTGGCAGTGCTCACTCAGGGTGTCTCGTGGGCAGTCAGACAACAGCTGGAGCGGAAGTCGGCTCAGAGCATCCTTGCTGGCAGGTCTGGTGGCTGGCGCTGACTTTGCCAGGCTCTGCCAGGGTCATTGGCTGCACATCTGCATGTGCCGCCTCGGTGGCACCTGGGCTTCCTCACAGTATGGCAACCAGGCTCCAAGGGCAGCTGCCCGAGAGCTCCAGGAGGAAGCTGCGTGGCCTCTTATGATGTGGTCTGGGAGTCGCAGGGCGTCCCTTCTTCTGTGGTCGTCAGCCTGCCCCAGTTGTAAGAGGTGGGAGAGGTCCCATGTCTGCGTGTCCACACCATAATGGGGGAAGGGTCTGCACCACCTTCTGAGAGCATCATCTGCCACGGGATGGCACAAGGTCATGGCATTTCACGTGATTGTCGCCCAAAGAAAGCCCTCAGCTGTGGAGCCTTGCCCTCTCCAGAAGCATCATAGGAGATGTCCCTTTATGTCTGCAGACAACCCATGTGGGCTCACAGCCTCTGTCAGCAGGTCAGTCGTTTGTTCCCTCTGGGGAGCAGGAGCGGGGCTCCCAGGCATGCGTCCAGGGGGCACTGAGCACCTGCCTGCCCTGCACATGGGAGGGACCCAGTGGTGAGCAGGCGCTGGTCCTCACGCGACTGCCTGCTGGTGGAGGAAATGACACAATCAGGGAAGAAGCAGATCTCACATAGAGATGTCAAATGCTGGCATCCCAGAAAAATCCAGCCATGTGGCAGGAGCAGAGGGCTCCATGAGGAGAGGCAGGTTCCTCGCCCTTGGCCTCCCTGGGAAGCTGTGGGAGGAATGTCTGCACCGTGCGGAGGCCCCGACACAGGAGTGAGTGTGTCGGCGGCTGGAGGGCAGTGAGTGGGGAAAGGTGCAGGCCAGGCCAGAAGGGCGGCCTCTGAGAAGGGGAGAGTGAGGAGGATGGCCCATGCCCTGGCTTGGCTCTGGGTGCACAGGGAAGCAGGAGATGCCAGGCCACACCCAGGCTCCAGGATCCCGGGGCAGCCGTTCTTGGCAGTGCTTGTAGAATCCATCAAAATGCTGATCCCAGGCCCTACCTGTGACTCACACGGTCTGTGACCAGGCCTGGGATGTGCATCTTACAGGAATATTCTCAGAGCTCCAGAGCTGGCAGACCTGGGTGAAAACCAGGAAGGCCTGGGAGCCGTTCCTCAAAGGCAGGAAGGTTTGGAAAATCAGAGAAGAGGAGAATGTGCTGGTGCCCCTTAGGCTGCTGGGCACAGGTTCACATAGCCTAGGCTTCCCTGGTGCTCCAGGCAGCTGAGGAGTTTGAGGTCTGAGTGCCCTGGGGTAGGGCGGGATGGCAAGCCAGGTGCCAAGCAGAAAACGGGATCGCTCCCCTGCTGCTTGTGAGCAGCCTGAGAAGAAGCTGGCAGCTGTCCACGCCTCACGCCAAGGCTGGCTGGCCCCACATTCCAGAAATCACCTGTCCCAGGCGGCCTCGCTCGCTGCGCGTCTCAGCCTGTCCATCTGGAGCGTTGGAGGCTGTGCCCAGTCCTGGTCCGGCACGGTCTGGCCCTTTCTTTTCCTGGTAGGGAGCCTACCAGCTGGCCCATGGGCAGCAGAGGGGCAGCGGACAGCCAGGGCGTAGGGAGGCGGCGGCAGGGCAGGCCCAGGCCAGTGGAGGCAGAAACCGCAAGCCGGGAGCAGAGAGGACGGCAGAGTCTTGCAAGCACCTGACAGGTGGCAGAGACAGGGCCTGGCCCGGCGGGCAGTGCAGGTTGGGGGAGCACCAGTGCAGACAGGGGAGGGCGGCCAAACGAAAGGAACCCAGACACACACACAGGCAGACAGGGCCGCGCTGCAAAGGCTGGAGCCACTGCCAGGTCAGGACTGGGCACCCCGTCAGGGCAGGGCAGGGGCCCCACTCAGGAGACAGAGAGAAGACGGAGAGAAGAACAAGGGCTGGGGGACCCCCTCTGGCCCCAGGCATGGCTGGCCCCTTGCCTCATGGCCGAGCTGATGCCTTCCCAGCCCAGGCTGGGTGGGGGCCAAGCATGAATGTGGCCCCATGGCCAAGGGTAAGGCAGGGTCAGGGCCCCAGGTCTCCCACCCCACAGCCGCTCGGCCTTCACTCGGGTCCCTAAACTGCCTCCTCACGCCCCGTCAGCCCACAGGCCTGGACCTGCCTCCTGCCTGCCCTCCTCCCTGCCCTGGCCGCTCACGCTCCTCTCCAGGGATCAAGTCCGCCCCAGCCACCCTGGCCCTGCTTCCCCAGGGTGTGGGCTCCAGCCCTGGTGCTTACACACCTGAGGACCAGGCACTTACTCCCTCCTGAGCCCACTCTGACAGGGAAGGTCCCATAACAGGGTCCAAGCCTAGGACTTCCACCCAGTCTGCCCGGCTCCCATCCTGTGGACCTCCAAGACCAGGATCTCTTCTCTGTCCTGGCTGAGGTCCCTCTGTCTCATCGCCAAGACCCCAGAGGCGAGGCCCCTAGAGGAGGTCTCCCAGGAGCAGGAAATAAGTGTTAGCGGCAGCTGTGAGGGGGTCCTGGGCCCGGCCATCCAACTCCACTCCTCTCCAGGCAGACCCTCAGCCAGCGGCTAGGGCAGCAGTTGCTGGGGCTGGAGAACCACTCTACCAGCCCCCTGGCCACTGTGGCCTCTGCCCAGCTCTAACGGCCCACCTGCTCCCCAGCTGTGCCCTTCTATCCCATCACAGGGGACCCTGGAGGGAAGGGCGGGGCCTGAGCCGGTCTGCGTTGCCCATGGAGGACTCTGCCACAGGTGCTTTTTGGCCTCATTCTTCTTGCTGTGGTCCAGCCCCTCTGGAGCCCATGGACCCACCTCCCAAGCCCCGTCCTGCAGGGACTCCCACCTTGGATGTGGGCGGGACCTCCTGGCTCACTTCCAACCAATAGGATGAGGCAGAAGTGACAACTTTGCTTCCAAGCTTAGGTCACAAAAGGACGTGGCTTCTGCCTGCTTTCATTGGACGATCTTGAAGGAGACTGTACTGCCCATGAGGGCTTGGCTGGGCAGCAAAGACTGGGCTCCATCTGTCTGTCCAGTCCCTCCCTGCGTGTCCCTGAGGTAGCTCCTGGAGGACAGTGGCCGGCACCTTGTCAGGGTCCACACCTGGTTGATGCAAGAAGGCACAGGTGAGCCCAGTCCACGCAGCTCCACACGGGTCAGAACCGGGTGTCTGCCGGTCAGACAGGTGCATCCACCTGTGTCCAAGCACATTTGGAAAGTGGAAAGGGAAATGGTGGCCTGCAAAGGGCATTGGTGTCCCTCAGATCCCAGGCCTGAGGTCCCTGGGCAGCCCAGCCCACAGACCCATCACCCTGCCCTGCCCGCTGAAGCTGCTGGCCCTGGGCTCAGTACACTGGCCATGGCTGGGTTCATATTGAGACCTCCCTTCCCCTGACTTCCATGCTCAGGGCTGCTTCGTGCAGGTCCAGGGACTTGGTGGGGGCCCCAGGTGCAGGGACGAGGTTGCAGGCAGCGCTGGTGGGGCGAGGACCAGGACCCAGGCCGTTTCATGCAAAGACACCCACTGGGGAACGGAGGCCCAGCTGCAGGTCCTGGCGGTGACCCTGTCCTTTACTGGAGGAGGACTCGTGTTAAAAAGGACCTGCCAAGGGGACATAGGCAGAGGAGTTGTGCATAAAAAACTCCTGAGCCAACCAGGTTCCAGGCAGCCCAGAGGCCAAGGGGTAGGGGGAGCAGGATGCCCTGGGGACACCCTGCCCTGCACAGCCCGGCCTCCGTGCCTGGGCGAACAGCAAAGCCTTGGCGAGCGGGCTGCAGGTAAGGGAAGCCCCACGGCCCAGGGAGGTTTATGGCCACCCGGCAGAGCACCCGGCCCCAGCAGCTGGCCTGGCCCCTGCACCTGTCCCTTTGTTTGCACAAATCCCGTCCCTAATAGACTTAATCGCAAAGCTTTGATGACTGTGCCAGGACCCTGCACAGCCCCCTACGGGCCACGCTGAACAAACACGCCATTGTCTCCGGGTGCACCGCAGGCGACCTGTTAATGGTTAAACCAAGGGGAGAAGGACGGCAGCTCTGCCTGAGGCCAGGGTGGGGGAGCTGCCTGGCATGGTGTGGGCACCAGCCCCCCCACCCCACCAGGGCACAGTTGTTCTACACTGGGGCTCCCAGTGGGCAGAGAGAGCACATGGCTTCTCCCCTGGTTTTAGAACTAGCTTCCCAGCAACCCTGGAGCCAGGAGACAAGCCCAGAGGAAGCGGCTGGAGTCCCCAGCAAGACACCTGCCCTGATCTCTCCACAGCAGGCAGGTGCCCGGGCTGTGGGAGCTGCTCACACACTTGAGAGCTGGTCATTCTCTGTGTACTCCAGACCCACGGGCCAGGAGTGGGCCTGCAGCTAGAGCCCTGCGAGCAAGCCTCACACAGCTGTGGGATGCCAACAGCACAGCTGCCATGGGCAATGCCGTGGCAGGTCCGCGCAGGCTGGTTACCCCCAGCACTACCATGTGACCAGCAATCCCACCCCAGCTCTGTCCCCAGAAGTGAAAGCAGGGACTCAGGCAGGCATGTGCACACCCATGCTCCAGGCAGCATCACTCACCAGAGGCAAGGATGGAAATGACCCCAGCATGCATCGACCACAAACAAGACGAGCCCACTGTGGTCTGTCCATACAATGGAACATTACTGGGCCATGAGAGGAATGACGGACAGACGCAGGCTGCAGCGTGGACCGGCCTCGCCAACGCTGCGCTCGGTAGAAGAGGTGGGGCACACAATGCCACATGGTGATGGACTTCCTTTATATGAAATGTCCAGAATAGGCAAATCCATAGAGACAAAAGTAGATGGGTGGCCGCCCAGGGTCGGGGGTGATGGAGATGGGGAGTGGCTGCTCAGTGACAGGGTTTCCACCTGGGGGATGCTTGGGCTCTGGAGCTAGACGGAGGTGAGGGTCGCACAACACTGAGATGGTGCTGGATACACTGGATTGTGCACTGAAAATAGCTAATTCTGTGTACATGAGCTTCAACTCATTTAAAAAATGACAGCCCACTGAGATAGACACACAGACGGTGGGTCCCTGAGCGTGGGGAACCCAGAGAGGCTAGGGGCCGAGGCCGAGCCACAGACCCCAAGCGGGCAGCCTGGCTCACTCCCAGCTCTGCCTGGGGCTGGCCGCGGCCTTGGTGGTCTCTCTGTGCCTTGATCTCCAGGCCTGTGGCCCGGTACCTCCCACTGCGCCATCCCAGCTCCTGTTGAGCGTGGCCACAGGAGGGGCCCTCCGTGGGAGCTGCTGTGGCCACACACACACCTCTCCGAGCACCTTTGTCCAGTCCACCCAGTCTTTCCCCTAATGTCCTGAAGACCTACTGCGCGGTAGAAGCCAGCCCTACTGTGGGGACGCAGGAGTGGGCAGGCTGCCCTGGTTCCTGCTACCATGGAGTACATAGCCCCAGGGGCAACAGGCAAACCCCAGGAGACCCCCACCCGCACCTAGAGAGGGGTGCAGCAGGGCGTGCAGCAGGGGCCAGCTCCATCCCAACCTCCTCCAGCCCCCCCCGGCTAACTGGCCCGCAGGCTACGCCGGGTGCCCTCATTGGCCCCTGGGCTTTTTCCGTTTTGTAACTGGTAGTCTTTTTTTTTTTTTTTTAAGAACACACTTTAAGGGTTACAGAAA